ACGCAGTGATGGCTCGAACTGGTCTGCTTCTTTGTAGGGATTTAAAGCGAACCTCTCTCTTCTGAGGAGACCCGGGGAGAAGACTTATACTCAGCGTTGCCGGTTGTTTGTTGGGAATTTGCCTGCTGATATCACAGACGAAGATTTTAAAAGACTGTTTGCCAAATATGGGGAGCCAGGAGAGGTTTTTATCAACAAAGGAAAAGGCTTTGGATTCATTAAATTGGTAGGCTTTCGTATTCTACATCTGTCCGTTTAATTATCAGGGAGTGGTAATTTACAACTGGGTTTTCTAAAACTGGATCTTGACCTTTCCTCAGGAATCCAGAGCTCTGGCAGAAATTGCGAAGGCAGAACTGGATGATACCCCCATGAGGGGTCGTCAGCTTCGTGTTCGGTTTGCCACCCATGCTGCTGCTCTTTCAGTGCGCAATCTTTCACCCTATGTGTCCAACGAGTTGCTGGAGGAAGCTTTTTCCCAGTTTGGTCCGGTGGAAAGAGCTGTTGTGATTGTAGATGATCGAGGTAGATCGACGGGAAAAGGCATTGTTGAATTTGCATCAAAGCCAGCTGCAAGAAAAGCATTTGAACGGTGTACTGAAGGAGTGTTTTTATTGACAACGTAAGTATTGCTTAGGATTCTTAGTTTTAAGCTAAATAAAACTGTCAGCTCCTAGCTTTTTGGAATGGAGGTTCTTCGGGAGAAGTAAAATGAGTGTTTTTTTGTTCAGCACTCCTAGGCCGGTTATTGTGGAACCATTGGAGCAGCTGGACGATGAAGATGGGCTTCCAGAAAAGCTTGCTCAGAAGAACCCAATGTATCAAAAGTAGGCACTGTCTTTTGGTATTGAGAGCGCGCAGGGGATGTGTGTGGTGTTGGTGCAGAGTCTGAAGGAGAGAGGGTCATTTTTGAGAAGCAGGCTTTGGATTTTGAGTGGTGCTTTCAATTCTGGCTTTCTTTGGTAGTGTGTGTCCTCAGACAGCATAGTTTACTGATTTTGTGTATTCACTGAGCATTGCACAAGTGGTTTTCTACTTTGTGCCACAGAGAACCAGTAAAGCCTAAGGAGTAGCCAAATAACCTGGGTTTTATATGTAGAAACTCTTGAAAGTTGACTTCAGCTCCTTGCTTATCCTGTTGTTGAGAGCTCACTCTTAAGTCATCTCACTTACGGTGTCTCATGATGATCCCATAGGGAGTTTATGAACTGATATTTATGGCACGAAATGAGAAATTAAGAAAGAATTCAACTCATTCCATGATGAATAAAAACGAGTTGCCCATGGATTTGCCTTCTGAAGCTGACCACTGGGCATAGAGGAGTAGCTGCGAGGCTGTAGGAGTCTTTTTCCAAGTAGCAGTTTTAGTTAGAACCTACCTACTGAACTTGTTTGGTGTAGAAATGTGGTATTTCCCCAGATCACGAAAGGGAGGTGCAGGGGGCAGACCCAGTCTTGATTATACGAGGAAGTGTTCAGCATTACTTGCTTTGATCAGAAGCTGTGAACAGTGTAGAGGCAGCGTCTTTGTAAAGTGTAGTCAGTGTAGATAACTGCAGTTGTAAGAGGGAAGGCTTGCAGGAGTCTCCACGTTTGCTGCAGCAGTTGCAGGATTTCTATTAAATGTGGCTGTTGAAGTCTCAGATGCTGCTCTGTAGCAGTGTTGTCACAGCAGAGTTGTGAGGTATTTTCCTTTCTGATGTTCCCTGATAATTCTGCTTGTGATCCTTCATTGACCTACAATTTCCAGGCTTACCAGGTCTGAACGAGCATCTTCCTCTCTGCAGGGAAAGATAGACTCCTCCTCGGTTTGCTCAGCCTGGCAGCTTTGAATTTGAATATTCCCAGAGGTGGAAATCTTTAGATGAGATGGAGAAACAGCAGAGAGAGCAAGTGGCAAAAAACATGAAAGATGCCAAGGACAAACTTGAAAGTGAGATGGAAGATGCTTATCACGAGCATCAGGCAAACCTCTTGCGTCAAGGTAATTGCTCTGGAGTCTGTGTTGTCGTTTTGCTTTAAATGCTGGTTTAAATGTATGGCTGCTGAGTGGTTTCATGAATAAATTCATGCTTCCTGCTGCTCGCTTGAGGATTTTCAGGCTTAAAAAAGAGCAACTGGTAGTTGTAAAATTTTAATTTAAATTAAATACTGTTAAGAATAGACACACTCAGAAAGTAGACGTCTGCCACGGAGCAGGTGATGTAATTTAAATGTGACAGCAGTGTGTGAAATAGCTGCTGACAAGCTTCATTTCTGCAGACCTCATGAGGCGCCAGGAAGAACTGAGACGTATGGAAGAGCTCCATAATCAGGAAATGCAGAAACGCAAGGAGATTCAGCTGAGGTTGGTTTGGCTTTCATGGGATTTCTTGTGAAGCTACATTTTCATTTTTACAATGATTTCTATATGAAAGCTTTTATTTTCAAGAAACACCTTTGCTGCTTCAGTGTGTGTATGAGAAATTGAGCTGCAGTGTAAGTTTCTCCTCAAATATTTGTGCATTGTAGAGTTATCTCTTTTGCTTAAGTGTAACCGTGCAGTGCCTTTTAAATTGCTGATGCAAGTGGTGTTGTGAGCTGATGGCTCCGCTGCCGAGCTCTAACAGTCTGCTTTGGGCTGAGCAGGCAGGAGGAGGAGCGGCGCAGGCGGGAGGAGGAGATGATGATTCGCCAGCGGGAGATGGAAGAACAAATGAGAAGACAGAGGGAAGAGAATTACAGTAGAATGGGTTACATGGATCCAGTAAGTGAGATCACGACGTTTTGGGGACGTATTGCCATGTTCAGGGATTTCTCAAAGATGCTTTTTGAACACTGATACATTTTGCTTCCTCCGTGATACTGTGGTGTCTTTGTGTGGATGTAGTGGTGGTTGGCTGTACGAGTGCTGTGTCTCCTGCAAGGGGTGGATTTCAGTGCCTGCTTATCTGTGCTAAAAGGTGTTTCTTCTATGCAGAGGGAGAGAGACATGAGAATGGGTGGTGCCACCACAATGAACATGGGAGGTAAAGAATTTTTAAATGATTACTTGACATGATTCACTTAGAAACTGTCAGAGTATGATTATATATTTCTCTTTCTTAGATCCTTATGCTTCTGCAGCCCAGAAATTTCCACCTCTGGGAGGTGGTGGCGGCATAGGTTATGAAGCTAATCCGGGAGTTGGCCAGGCAGCCATGAGTGGTTCTATGATGGGAAGTGACATGGTAACGTATCCTGTGGTGCCTTTAGTTTAGCTCAAGGGAAATGTTGTGGTTGGGAATTGATTCTCTCCCAGTGTTCGGATGGTTGTGCAAATGTTACTGTTAACTGCTGACTTTGTTGTCAGGTGTTTAACGTGAAGACACTACGGCAGTGTGTAGTGCTAGATTAGTTCTTAACCATTGTGGTAGCTTACACAGTTGGGAGTTGTTTGTAAGTGAATTCAAATGTGCTCTTCAGCATATTTGCAATTAACTCTGACGTTATTGGACTTGGGAAATTCTGCATCACTGTTAGGCTTGGAAGGATGTATAAATCGTAGACAATCTGATAAATTTCATCATTAAATACGTGTGTAGCAGCGTTTCAGTCATCTGACATTCTGTATCAATGGACAAGAGGGATTCTTGTTCTCCTTCCCAGTGTGTAACATTGTATTTATTTTGACCCTTCCAAGCCTAGGTAGGGTTGATGCATGTTGGTATGGGTATGCTGTTAATTAAAAAAATCTGTGCTCCTGTCTATCGAAGCAGCAGATTAACTTAGTAATCAGTGGTAAACAGCATATCACTTACTCTGTATGCTGATGTTTGCCATAGAAGAGCAGAAATGCTGTTTTTTAGCTGTAGGCATGTTCCAGCAATCCTTGACTGTAGCTGTTTTGTGGTTCCATCTCACAAAGGAGGGATGTTCTTGTTTTCCCATGTTGGGCATGACTCTGTAGGTAGAGCTTGTTAAAGCTACGCCATATCTCGTGCTCCGAGGTATGCTTCCAAACTGTACTGTTTTGGCACACTACACGTGTGAATGGGCCTGAGCCTGCTTGGTGTTAGCACACTGAAGCAATATGGATGTAGATTAAAGAAATGCTTTATGGGCAGGATGGAAATCTGTTGGTTTAGGTGGTGGTACTGGTGTGCTTCCACCCTCCTCAGAGGGTGTACACTCCATAGCACAAGCTGAAGTAAATGATTTTTGGGTGGGTTTAGACCTCTGGCTTCATGTGGTGAGCTGCCATAGTAACTTGTCAGGTATCTTCCGTTTTTGGGGGTTTTTTTGGGAACCAGATCTTTGGAATGATAACTTTGCAGAGCATCGTTGATTCAGTAGACAGTGCCGTTGGCCTGAGTGTATCTGTATAATCTACTGATACTCGAGCAGTTCCTAAGTTCCCCGTGAACAGTCAGGCAGTCTGTGGTGAATGCTGTGTACATTTTTCTCCTGGAAATCATGGTACAGGTGCATGCTGAACTTAAATAATACTTAAAAACATGGTATGGGTCAAAAGGTGCAGTAAGATGGTGTAACTGCCTTGAGTTTCTTAGGATGGGGATCTCTGCCACTCAGTGCTGTCACAGCTCCTGGGCTGATACCTTCCAAACAGAATTGGAGAAAAGCTTAAGCTGCCATGAATTAGGCAGAAAGAACCTAGGTAATCTCTCTGAAATTCCTTTCTGGAAGGATTGACAGTGACTTTCAGAAGTCAAGAACTTCGATGTGAATTTTCAGTTGCAGCTAACTTTTTAAACAAACAACGTACCGTTGTTCTGTGATTTGGTAGCGGGAAACTTGCTTGAAATGAAAGTTTAAAGCTATCTTTATAATTTGTCAGTTCTGTAGATCGAATGCTGATCACACCTACCGATACAAAAGCTGAATGAAGTTACATGCAACTAGAGGTACTACTAAAATATACCTGAAGTCTCTGCTTTACTGCAGGGTAATGTAGCTTTTCCATCTTGGTGTGAAACCTTTCAGCGCTGTCAAGTTGTGAATTTTCCAAGAGCTTGTGGTGCAGGTGGGGTGGGAAGGGAGATGCTGACTGGATGCACACAACCAGCCCTCTGTGCATAGTTCTAACTTGAAATGCTGAACAAACCGTAGCTCTCTGAACACGTTTTGCACATTGTACAGCAGCAGTTCTGGGGTACGTGGGGTTTTAACAAATGCCAGTCTTTTGCTGGAGCAGTTGTGTTGGTTAGGTAAATCACTGGTCATGAGCTTTTTTCACATTTTTTTTCTTCTTGCAATGCAGTAGTGCTCCCAATCAGGTTTGGGTACTGCCTAAGGCCTCTGCAGTTTAGTCAGCAGACCGTAGTCTTAACCCCATCTTGAAAAGCAATGGTCTCTATTGCAGCACATGCCATTAACTGGTGAGTAGGCATTCTGTTTACAGTGGCATTTTGTCAATGTCAGCTCGTACTTCAGTGACCTGAAGACCGGTTCTCTGGCTAGGCTTGTTTGGAAATGACAGTGATGTAATCTGAGCTTTTACTGCACTAAAGGTGAGAAGTTTGCAAGCTATTAGCATTAACTTGGTTGAAATTTGCTAGAGCTCATTTGGAAAAGTTGTTAATTCACATCTGCACTAATGCTTACATTTCTAGCACTGCAGGGAGGATCTGTTCTTTGTAACAGATGTATGAGAATGCATCAAGTGGGAACATACCTCAAGGCATGTATTACAATAAACTAATTTTTAAATTACCCTTTTTTCCTTTCTATGTTCCCGGTACCTGTGGATCGGCTCAATGGTGATTGTATCGACGAACCTTGACTACGGAACCTTCTAAAAATATATACTTAACACACATGGACATCAACTACCTATAATGAACTGTTAATTCTGTTCCAATAGCGTCCTGAACGCTTTGGGCAGGGAGGTGCGGGGCCTGTGGGTGGCCAGGGTCCTAGAGGAATGGGGCCTGGAACACCAACAGGATATGGTAGAGGGAGAGAAGAATATGAAGGCCCAAACAAAAAGCCCCGATTTTAGATGTGACCTGTAGTTTCATTCCAGTTTGTTTTTGTCTGTCTTGTTTAGACACCAACTTTTTAATTCTTGCATTTTAGTAAGAAAGCTACGTTTTTATGGATGTTAGAAACTTACTGACCTAATATTTGTAAGTGGTCTGTTTGGGCGAGTACAATTTAATTATGTAATGCAGTGTTTCGAAACAAATTTAGCTGTTTTTTTGATGTATAACGTCCCTAACTTGATGGCAGTGTACCTTGTGCCACTGAATTCCCAAAGTGTACCAACTTTTTTTTACTGTGCTTCAAATAAATAGAAAACTAAATGTAGTAACTCTTCTTGCCATTCGTGGTTAAACGTACGAGGCTGAACCCCACACCTTCCGCAGTAAAGCGAGAGTCTCGAATAGAGCTCGAATTAGACCAGGGTGTGGAGCTGTAGAGAAGAGAGACCTCTTCCAGTAATGCCTCTAGCTTAAGATTGGGTCAAATAGCAGCTTAACTTTGCAGTAGGTGCAGATTTTTTTGAGCATTAATTGTGCTGCAATAAGGAAGCAAACGAAATCTTGCAAGTGCTGTAAGATACAGTAATTAAAGCTACGCTGCAAGCAGTGCAGTACGTAATGAATTGTCATGTTTTAGCTACAGATAACGGGTGGTGGGACGGTAGCACTTAACCACCTCGGCAGTTACTGCTTGCAATCTTTTAAAGACTTCAAGCAGAAGACTAGCAATGGTTATTTTAAACTAAATTCATAGAATGACCTGTATTGGCCGACTTTCCTAACTAAAGGATTGTTAATGTGATATTTATATGCTCTTAAGCTGTCTTGAGATTACAGGCTCTGGCCTTGCTCCGTATTGTGTACTCCCCTGAAACTGCTTGGCAAAAAGACCAGAGGTGTTACGCGAGTGATGAAGGTTAACTTGCTTATGTCCTCATGCTAACGGAGTGGACTAACTTGCATAGTTGAGAATACAATTATTTGTGTTACGGGGACTGCAGGAGCTATTCTTCAATCGTGTAGCTGGTGGGCAAATCCTGAAGACCTGTATGTAAAATACAGAAATTAGCTTGCTTGCATGATGGTTATTGCTCTTTTATTATTGATGTTTGGAGATAATGCATCGAAAGTAGTATCTGAATCTGGAGTTCAATAGTTAATACTGCACAGTACAAATAAACTCCCTTTAAGGTTCTTTTGTAGAAGATCTGATGAATTCGTTAGCTTTCTGTTCGTTTTATTAAGCCCCAGAAGAACCTCAGAGCATTCTGGACTCACTGATAAGGTAGTTGCTTTGCTTATTATTACTTTGTACCAGCGAAGCTGGGAACGTGACTTCCCAGTGTAAAATACCGTGGTGTTAACGCGGGATCCATCAACCTGCTTGGCACAAAGTAGGTAAACTTAGTGTGGCTGTACCTTGACACTGTTCCCCAGCTACCCAGCATTCTGCGAGTAGCTTTTAATCTTCCCTTTCCATTCCTCGTGTCAGCATTGGCCAGTTCTAAATTCCACGCTAAATTTTCTCTGTGGCTAAAACAGAAGTGTGAGATTGCAGTATTTTAGAGTGCAGATGATCCCTCTTGAAGGACTCACTGTAAGTGCTGTTACTCCTTAAATGAGAAAAATAGCACGTTGTGAAATGCCGATACCAGGTAACACTGTCTTTGAACGTTAAGCTCACTCGATAGCGACTGGGCTTGTTTGGTGAACGCTTCTTATTTTCCCAGAAAAGTTTGGGGGTTGATAACATGCTGTGCAACCATGAATTGCTCTTCAGGAAATTCTGAATTGGCAGTTTCTAATCTGCAGACCAAGTATTTGGGATTGCTTCTATTGCTGCTTAGTTTAAAAATCAGCAGTACCAATGCAACTTGCTTTATTGAAGTAGAATTAAATAATGCTTATGTTTTCTGGAGGGTGTTCGCGGGACACCCGCAAAAGGTTAAGGTGTCTGAGAGGGGGAATTCTGAACGTCAACATGAAATTAATTTTTTCAGTTTATTTTTCAGATTACATGTCATTCTTTATTAAAGAGATGCTGGTGCATATCCTAAAGTATGTTCTTTTGTAGTTCTGTAACTTGGAAGAGTGAAGGATGCTGATGTCCTTGTACCTTACAGAGGTTGTCTTTTGGTACCCGTTTTGTACGTAAGCTACCGTTGCTAGGTATTACAAATAGCTGAGTTGCAAACCCATGACTAGTCAATACATCGAAAGATTTGGCAGTTTTCAAAACATCTGAAAGTTTGCTGAAATCTCGCTTTGTTGTAGCCGCATAAGCAGAATTTCTAAAACAAGTTCTGCTTTGAGTTGCATGTATTAAACAGGCATACTGGTAAATGGCCAACTTCTTTTTAAGCCCTTCAAAGGTGGTGCCTTAAAAGCTGGCAAACATGCCTTAAAATCCGATAAACTTGCTCTAAATGTGGGGGGCGACAAAGTTACGTTCCTTTGATCTGTTCCTATGAGGGTTTGGACTTTTTTTTTCCATAAAATGAGATTAATAGAATTGATTCTTTAAAACAACTTAGAAGAGTGCTTCGTGATCAGACCCGGTTTTGGATGGTCTGGATCACATAACACATTTTTGTACTGGACTTGGAGGACATTGGCTGTTGCAATTTTAGCTTGCTTTATCAAAATTGAGCCCATTTTGTGACACTTAGCTTTAAAAACTGCAGCATGTAGAAACTGGTATCGTTATACATATATCTATATCTTCACACTCCCTCAGAAACGAATACAGAATAATCTTACCTTCTGGTGTAGACGAATTACACTAATCATTTATACAGCTGATGAGAAACTGAAACTGCTTTTGAGATTTTGTGGTATTTTTGTGGTAGAAAAAAAAAATCTTGGCTTCTCCTTGGCAACCATTTACTGTGGCAGCAAGCTTTTGCTGGAGTTTGAGACTGCAATTTACACTTAAAACTAGTGGCCTGCTCCATAACTGCACTTAGCCAGCATTTCTGCAGTTCATAACTGTGAGGAACGTAGTACCACAAATGGCAATGGACATTAGGACCCGGATGTAGTATTCCTGCTTGCTCCGAGATTCTCATTGCCGACTGCGTCCAGGTAGGTAACAAGCAATATCATCTACCTTGGTGACTTTCTATGTAATCTTTTACTGTGGGTATTCTGACATCACACTTCTGACTGTGGAATTACAGTGCAGCACTCCTCATACTGTATGTTGAGCTTGCATCAAAGCTTGCGTGGTTTTCGGTTTTAAGCTTTGTCTTGTTCAGAGTCAATAAGCAACTTGCTGTGATTCTTAGCTCAGTATTTTCAGACCCGATTCCTTTGTGCATACGACTCGGCTTGTGGGGGTTTTTCTTAGTTCCGATGTAATGAAGATATCCTTAGGTAAGCTCTGTGGGGAAGAGGGAACGTGATCTTGAACTCACTGAACCAGTCACCCGGGTGCTGTCAGTGCCTACGAGGGGACTGTGGAAACTCCGGTAGTGACAAAACGGCCCATCTGCAGCCCTGCCCTCTGTAGAGTCTTGGCTCAGTAGGAAATGCCGTAGTAATTGCTGCTCTAGCCTTGTGTGCATAGACACTTCAAACTTGCTGATGCAGTCAGCATTGAGACTGATCTGGAGTATTTTTGAGGACATACAAATGAGTGCTTGAATGAGTATCCCTGTGAGTAGTTCCCTAGAGCTTATTGGACATTCCTGTTGTCTTTATTTTAATCATTGACTGACAAGCATAATGCATTCCTCTGCCTTTAATTGACAGTGAGATTCTGTATTTCTGCCTCGTAGTCATCTTGGTAGTGTAATGCTTGACTTCATTTTTCATCAGTCTTGGGGCTGTAATTCTAAACTCTTCATTACTAGAAATACTGAACGCAGCGTTTCAGGATTAACGTGCTTGCATTTCCAGATGTCCAGACACGCTGATCTCCAGCTCTTTTGCATCAGCTCTTGAACATGAACTTCAAGCTCCCTTATTTCAGCACATGATCTAGCTCTTGTCTGATGTTCAGTTTATTCAGAAGTGTTGTAACATGTTTTTCTGCTTGTTCTGCAAAGTTTTGCTTTGCATACTTGTTCCTGGTATTACTGTCACATTTGGACCCTTCTGTGTTACCTTCCAGGCAAGACTCTCGCTGGTGACCAGGGATCTGCTGGACAGCCTTGCCCTCTGCTGTAGCTTTCCTTTCGTGTGCCATTGAGAGCTTGAGGTAGCAGCTGCACCCTTATAATTGTAACAACAGGTCTTTGGTTACACAGTGAGTGTAGCCCAGCTCTAACTCTAGCGGGTCAAGCAGTGGCACCACTTGTCACAAAGTCAGTTTGGCTTTTCGTGATGGCTTACGCTTACCTGTGACTAGAATTCAGTAGCAAACCTGATGGCAGTATGTGCTGTCCTGTAGCAAAACCGAATTATTAATCTTTAAACCGGCGCTCAGATGGGGCTGGTTTTTCCAGTGTGCTCTGGATACTTGACTCGACCTGCAGGAATGTCGTGGAAGGGTTATTGGCACATCTGCCTCGTTCTGCATACTCAAACCGGCAGGTTTTTGACATTCTCGGAGCAAGCAATTTGTGCCTGACCCATGGGTCTCATACCAGCTCTGACTGTCTGCAGTAATGAAACTTGGTGTGGTAGCTAACTTAAAAGCAAGTAGTCACGTCTGCTCTAAGTCAGTCTGTAACAAGTGGGTACAAGAAATGACATTCAAGTGCTTGCATTGTGTTTCATCTTGGTTTTATCTGTGTGTGAAATACACTTTTTCTCAAATCTCATCTGAAGCTCAGAAGTGTGGTGTCAGAATACATATGCGTACTTGCTAGGCCCTCAGATTCAGATACTGGTGCTGTCAGGAGAAAGCACAGCATAGCGTGTATGGGGGCTTTACTGTAACATTAAGCATACAAAGTGTTGATTTGCTTGCAGTTTTCCCCATAGCTAAACACTGAGGCCTGTGAGTAGTTCTAGGACTCGAGCAGTAATGGGGTTGCATGTCTCTGTTAATCATTGCCAGCTGCAGTGACACGATCAGGAAGGCCAGTGTTTTGTGCCATTATGTTAAATGAGGCTAAGCATGTTGGAAAGGATGCATTAAAAGTACGCTGTTGTGGGTAACGACTTGGCTTCTTCCACTACTAGCAAGTTTGGAATCAGCTAATTAGCTTCAGATTTCTCTTCCTCTCCATACCAGCTAGTGGGGTTCCTAAATAGCTGCTTCCTGGAAAAGGCAAAAAAGGGAGGCTTGGCCTTCTCCCACCTCTGTCATTGCTGCTAGGTAATGATTGACACGTTAGGACTTGGCTGTGCAATCCCGCAGTGGTCTGTGAACA